ACTCAAATCCCGAAGATGTCTCAGAAAGGCGTTGACTTCCTAAAGCCCCACCGGACACCCCACAAACCACGTCTTCTTCGTGTCAGTCTTTCTGATCGAGTTAGGCCCAGTGAAGCCAGAGGCCGTAGCCCCAATGCAGAGAAGACAGTACAAAGGCGGTAACTGCATCCAAGGTTCACTGAAAGCAGGTCCTATGAAAAAAGGCGAGTGTAACTGGGGTGATATCTGTGGGGAGATATGTCAAGAATCTTATTTTCTTCCTTGAGAGAAACTGTTGCTTGGGTTCATTTACCTGTTTATCACCATTAGGCAACTCAAGCACATACCCAGCTGTGCGAGAGCGCTTGCTGGCCATAAACTCCAGTGTGAGCAACAATGCCTCCAGTATTGGAACGCGGGACCCTCGGCGCATCATTCGTGTCAGCCTGTTGCCAGAAACACATCGCTCATCTGCAGATTTTCTTGACTGTATTTTTGGTGTAAGCACAACTTTTTATGCCCAATAGCATTAACTACAAACATAACAGGCGGAAGTCACAACCACGCGTCCTTTTATTTGCTTTCCCAACGCACTTGCATGCGACTGCCGCATGCACGGACTTACCGCCTGCCCAGAGGGGTCAGAAGGGAAGAGCTTATCTTGCAAAGAGCCGTTAGCAGNATGCACGGACTTACCGCCTGCCCAGAGGGGTCAGAAGGGAAGAGCTTATCTTGCAAAGAGCCGTTAGCAGATACTCGGCTTGCAACCACTCCAGACCTAGGTTTGTTGCCAGTCTGTAAGCCACGCGGCTTTTCTCTACAAGCACAGTAAACTAGAGCAAATAAGCTTCAGCTGTATTACGCCCTCCTTAACACATAATGTGTTTATCTGCGTCATTGTAGCAAGGCACGCATGCATTCTGAAGTATCTGTCTCAGCCTACCGGGGCCACTGGGTCCTACGATCAGGATCGCCTGCCGAGGCTCCTGAGCAAAGGCCACTTCGTCTTCTTCCGTTACCATAATAGTGTGTTCCTGCGGTGGCTCCTCAGCTTGAAGGTATGCTTTGTGCCAGGGTTCTTCATCCTCCTGTCCGTCGCTCAGGAGTGCTGCAAGCGCATGCATGGACTGCAGGTTTAGACAAGCATGCATAGTCCTCTATAAGAAACATGCGCGTGGGAGGATACACAAGTCTGCTCAATAAGAATTTCGCTTATAAAAAGTGTTGGCTCACGGTCCGTCTCCTGATTCAGTTCAATGGGTACAGAGGCCTCTTCCGTTATAGGTTCCTTTTCATCACCAGCACCCTCCCCTGAAGGAATGAAATTAGTATGTTCAACGGGGAGCAGGTCCGTTGCACTGTGTAGCTGCATTATGCAGAATTTTCTGTTGCTGTATAGATGCATCGTATTTCCAGCAGTAGCACGTAAGCTGAGGCCATAGCCAAAGTTCGACGCAGGGGAATGTGCCGGCATCGTTCACTTACTAAGGTGCAGGAGAGCTGCATTGAAGTCGGAGCGACGCCTAGCAACAACGGAGCCTACTCCCTTTATCATGATTGATCGTCGGAATGTCTTTGCGTTTGTCCGTTTCAGTGATTCTTCGCACAGACTGTAGAATACCCGTGTCTTGAAGTTCTCTGGCCGCCGCCGCGCTGGCTTTGGTGAAGGCTGCTTCGCGTCTTCTCCTTGAGCAGCTGATTCATCGTCAGCGGCCTCTTCCGTTGGTGTTGCCTCTTCGGTTTCTGGGTCTGGAGCAGGTTCCTCTGTCTTGGCCTCTGTATTCTCTCCCTCTTGGCCTCCATCTTGGGCGGGTTCTTCTGGCTCGGGCTCTGCCTCTGGCTCCGGCTCTGGCTTCGGCTCTGGCTCGGGCTCCGGCTCGGGCTCCGGCTCCACATCTTCATGCGGCTCCGGTTGTGGCTCTATCTCCACCTCCGGCTCAGGCTCCGGGCTCGGCTCTGGCTCTGCCGCAGTTTCCTGCTCTGGAGGGGGTGTGGGCTCAGGTTCCGGGTCTGGCTCTCCAGGAGGCGTAGGGACCGGTGTTTGTTCACTCTTGTCTGATGATAGTGCATTCTTGAGGTCCTCCAGGCTCAGGTCATTCCCCTCAACGGATGCCAGATCTTGCAGCAGCACAACTTGAGCATCATCCAGTTGACACACCCCTTTCTGCGGTTCCGGTTCAGATTCACTTTCTTGCACTGCCTCGCTTTTCGTTATTTCTGGTTCATCCACTTGTTTTTCTAGCGCTGGAGGAGCTCCCTTGAGACGAACTAATTTCTTCATACCCTCCATCTGCACTGGTAGCCCAATGGAATTGAATTGCCTGAGCTCATCCTCGGAAACTCCGGATATTCGAAGGGGCAGGTCGCTTTTGCTTTGATAATCTGCGAAGTGTCGGCGAGCACGTGGAGGCGTCGGTTGTGGAGTTGTTGGCTCTGTAGTTTCATGCGCAACAGGCTGCGGCGTTTCCTGTTCTTCCTCAGCGGGAGGTTCTGGGGTTGTGGAGCTCTGGCGCTCGATCGGTTCCTCTTGATTTCGCCTTTCCTTTAGGACCGCTGAGATAGATTTTGAGAAAACACTCTCCAGAAATGCCCGAGAGGCAGCTCCCAGCGGCGCTATGTTCGAGTAGTCCGCCCATTCGGTTGTCATCGGTTCATCTTGTGATACCTCCGTGC